GTTTGGGCAGACCAAGCCCTGAGGAACCCTGTGCTGGAGAGTCCAAGGGGCAGAACAGTATTCCCCAAGCAGCACCTTCCGGAGCCAGCAATCTAAGTAGGGGTTGAACTACTGTAGCGCAATGCCAACTCAGACAGTGGCTCCCAAAGGTTACAATGGTCAATTGAGTTGAAAGTTGCTGAGAAGTCCAGGAGCAGTAACACAGTCACATTCTCTATCTTCCTCCTGGCATACCATGCAAGATGACTACAGCTGTTTCTGTGCTAAGATGTGGCCTGAAACCCCAACTGAAATGGATCCAGATAATCAGCCTCATCCAATTATGCCTGGAACTGGTTGGCCACCACCCACTCAAGAACCTTGCCTAGGAAAGGGATATTTTCTACCTGACTAAAATTATTAAGATTTCTAGTTCCAGAGAGGGTTTCTTCAGGAGTGACCTTACCACTGCTAATTTCAAGTGGCAGAGGACCACTTCTTCTAGAGAAGCATTAATCACCTCTATGGCCTAGGGAGCAATTCCTTCCCTGCTAGATTCTATTAGCCAGGAGGAGCAAGGATCCAGTACATACGCGGTTGCAAAAACTTGTCCAAGCACCTTGTCAACATCCTTAAGCTATACTAACTGGAACTCTCTCGTATGTTCCACAACCTATGAAGGAGCCAATCACGAATTAGTGGAAGCAGTAATTGTGCTTTAGGCAGCATGCCCACTCATTGCTATCTGTGTTGTTATGGGTGATCCACATCTAAGTTCTGTTGAACACAGCGGGATTTACTTCCAATTAAAGGTACATATGATTCCACGATCTTTGGTAATACAAAAATTCAGTCCTCGTCAACAGGCTCTAGCCTCTGATTGTCCCTCCATTATTTGCCCCATGTAGCAAAATTATGATTTATGTATTTATTTAAAGTTTTTATAAATCATCCCTATACTAGCATCTCGGGATGGTTTACAACGAACAAGCTTATGATACGAGCTTTAGCAAACTATAGTTTACTTCACCAATCACATGTAGCATTATTTGTACTTAATAGGTCTACATCTACACAGGTATAGAAGGAAACGGTTGTTCTGAGTCAAACAATAACTTTATTTTGCACAACTATAAGTGCAAATCGATTATATACAATTTTGGGTTTTCACTGGTATTTGACTTCACTGTTGACAGGTTCTTCCTTACAGAGGTACATATGTTCCTGCCAACTCAGGGTAACATTTCATGTGTCCGCAAAAGCATAAACTGTAATGAATGTGCTAGTCTTTAGAGGTGCCACAAGTCTTTGGTTTTTATATTCAGAAAAGTTAGCAGCCATCTCAAATTCCTTTGCATCAAGGTTAAAGGATTTTGCCTTTGAAGAGAGACATTTAATTATGTTGTTGTAAACAGCCTTTGAGACATTTGTTGAAGAACACTATCTTAAACTAAGGTTCCCCTACCCCAACAAAAACATACAATCTTATGAATGTGTATCTTGAACTTAATTCCACTTACTGACAGGTAAGTTAAAGCTTATTCACAGGTAAAAGTGCACAGAATTGCAAACTAAGCTAACTATTTCTGCTCAGGAAGGCAAGCCCCAGTAACAGTAATACCCTTACATTATCTTTCAAAACCGGACCATAAAGGACAAGGTGTGGCTGTTGAAGCAAACTAAACAGGACATGAAATGTGTTTTTACATTGAATGTGCTTATTTTTCGAATGCAAATATTATGGGGTGAGAAAATATTGGCATTGCAGTAGTGGGGAAGGGGAGTTTAACTTTTCTCCCTGATGAAAATACAAGCAGTGATTGCCTGAAACATTTCCAAACCGCTGACAACTCATTTACCATCTGCAACAATCTACACATAGCATAGGCGAAAATATTACATTCTATACAGAACTATCCTGCATACAGCTGGAAGGGCTGCAGGGTACAGGAACAGAAGTATCTTTAAGCTGAGCAGAGGCAAATGGAGGTCTGAGAGATAGTTGTGCTTAGCCCACAGAAAGATTCTTCTCTGGAGAGGTAGCTGACCTCCCTATAATGAGGCCTCCACCAGTTAAGTTGGACTCCTCAACTTACATGCTATTTGCAGTGGTTTGGCAGAATCTTGCTTCAATCACACCCATCCTCCATGTCCATCTGTGAAAGCAATCTGGTGCAGTTCTCAGCTTAAGCCTGCAAAGTCCATCTACCCCTCCTGTTTCAGAGTTAGCCTCTGAGAAACACAGCAATAGGCAAAGACAGGCAGCCCTTTGACATACAGGCTGGTCAGCCTGCTGAAGGGGTTTGTTTTTCCATAGGTTGGCATTGCTTATTTCTTCTGATTTGTGTTTTAAATAATGGTGGTGGTGGTCATCATCATTCCACCTCATGTATATGAAATCTTTCTTCCATTTGCAAAGAACCCAGAGTAGCTTAAAGGGGTCTTCTCCATTTTATCCTTACAACAACCCTGCAGTGTATATTTGGCTGAAAGTGAACTTCATGGCCAATCAAGAACACACACTCAGGATCTCCAAAGTTTCAGCCCAACATTCAAACCACTATGTCACATATAGCATAAAAGCAAAAATACAGTTGTTTTTACACTATGCTTTAGTTAAGATTACTCTTAAATTCAGAGGTAGCTCTTTTAAGCACCATTCTTTGGCAGAAAGATGAGATGCAAAAGAAACAAAGAGCTACACTCACAACTTGCCTTTCAACTGCCCAAGATGACAACCCTCCCTCCTTTCCCCCTACAAGCTCCTTGTTCCACGGTTCTGTCTCATTTGCTCACTAACCATCCATTTTTCTTTTTAAGGGAAAAAATTAACAACCATGAAATGGGCATCCCTATTTTTTGGCCTGCTAAGAGTAACCAGATGTTTCCTGCATTAACAAGCCATCTCCCTTGTGTCCAGATGTATTCATTGCCTTACTCTGTCTTTTACCAGTTTAACAACTTTGCAGGCTTTAGACTAGGGCTTTAGCACTAGCTTAAGTCACACAAGCCCTAATTTACCATTGGGTGGAGGGGGCAATTCTGCTGTGGAATTGTGTACCACTGCTTGTACTCTAACAGCAGCAGCATCTGCACTGGGAGCTTTCAGAAGACCTCTAGAAGTATAGGTGTTGTGCTGCTGGAGTGTCTCCATCTGGGAATCAACACATACTCTCTATTCCTGGGGCCATCAGCCATTCAACTGGCAACAGAAAGGCATCACAACCAGGATAAAATATGAATGCAGTCATAGAAAATTCTTTTAAGCAACATGCTCCATTCATGTTAAGTCCCTTTCCTGTCTTGTCCAAATGCCCTGTAGTCTCATTTACCTCAACACAGTGTACTGATGCTTTGTGTAAACAGGTTCATTCCATATTTATCCGAATACATAAACCACCGTCTGGCTGCTATAAGCCTCAAAGTCAATACAGAATGTCCATTTTATAAATTCTGGTTTTTCCACTCATACACATAGCTTTGTGAAGCCCCTTCCATTCATTTTCCCACCATACAGTGACTCATGGGGTAACTTCTGCTCTCTAGTTCCTTTCACAAGACATATTTAGAACCTACCTTTATCTCAAACGGTTCATATTCCTAGAACTTAGTTTGCTCATGGCATTATTATAGTTAAAAATTAAAAAGCAATTGTCTGAATAAACTATACTTTTAGATGTAATAACCAAACACAACTAATGTCATGAGCAAGCCAAGCTATGCATAACAGTTTCAACTCCTTTTTTTATGTCTAACCAGAGGGACTTCAACAAGTGGTCCTTGAAAGACCACTTCAGAAGGCAGAAGCAGCTGGCATACTTTGAGCAAATGGTGTATCCTGAAAGACCTTCAGAAGACAGAAGCAGCAGGAAGAACTGGAGGCATTGGAAGACTCGTAGAACATCAGTGGCTGTTTGTAAGGAATTTTAGGAAACTTCCTAAACCTGGTCCTGTTTATAGGGAGGAGCTTAAGTAAGTCAGGACTAATAGAAAGGCAACTGAAATGTTCTTGAGCTAGGAAAGGCTTCACTTAGGAATATTTAATTTAAAAATATTTAAGCAACCTGAAACTGTTATTGAAAAAGTTGCATTTTATTCACTTTTGTAAATTGTTTCTGTTAATGAACATCTTAGATTTCTGGTTCATTTTAAACTGCTTTCTTTAGTAGTGGTATCAATCGTATTCCTATCCTATAAGAACCAAGAATCATTGGAGAATCCCCTTGGATGGGTTTCCAAGCCTTCACACTGGCAGTACTTCAGTTCAGCTGTGGTGTACCTGCTGGCACGATGCCACCATTGCAACAATGCTCCAGAAAACCACTGTGGTGTCGTGATAAAACTAGAGCTGGGAAGATCCATATTCATATCCCTACCCAGCCACAAAACTCCCTGGCTGGCTGACTTGGGGTTGGTCCTTTGCCCTACCCACTTCACAGGGTTACTGTTTGGATAAAATTGGACGTGGCAGAAATGCACAGAGCATCTTAAGTTTCTTAAAAGAAAGGCAGAATCTACAGGTCATAAGCAAATGATAAAATGTTCTTAAGGGAGGAAAACCACGTAGGAGGTCACTTCACATAAGCCAAAAGTTCTACACAGGAAACTTCTTGAATCAATCCCGGAGTTTGTTACATGTGACAAAAGCATTCACACGCGTTTTTTATTCTCTGTATTCTCAGCGAACGCACCTAGCTCTAACAGCGCTGAACGACACGCGGGATCTTCTTCCTACCTTCCTTGCGAGAGGGGGAAAGAACCTTTCGCCCCAGGACAGTTTTGTCCCGTGTGAAACAAGCCTGAGTAGTCCCCGCCTGCTGACAGGGAGGGGAGGGCTTGCTTCCAGGTTCGAGGCCATGACCTGCAAACAAGGCAGTTTCTCAGCCGGGCGCTGAGAAACGTCAATGCCAGCCAGGCCTGCCGTTGAGTCGGCTCACAGCCCACGGGGCGCCCCCATGGTTTCCCACAAGCACATGACCCCTCCTCGGCCCCCTCCTCGCCTTTCGGCTCCGCACACTTACTTGAGGAAGTATCTCTGGCCCGTGTGCGTGAGCGCCATCTCCCAGCCCGGAGGTAGCGGCAGCTCGTCCGTCACGTCGTAGGATTGCTGGCGAAGGTGGGCGTGCTGCTGAGCCGGGCTCGGGGTAGCTCCGGCCCCGGCGCCCAGCTGCAGGGATGCGGGAGACGAGTGCGAGCGGACGTGGTGGACCCCGACGGCGGCATTGCTGAGCCTCGGCGGGTGGCTGCCCGAGTCGGTGCTGGACTGCCGGGAGTGAGAGCCCGAGTCGGGCTCCTTAAAGAAGGATTCGGGCAGGATCTTTTTCCTCCACGAGCTGGGCTTGGGGTTCATGACAGAGTTGAAGAGGGCCTCAAGATCGGTGTCCAGATCCTGGGTGACATGGATCACTTGCTGCCCCGGCGGGGGAGGGACGGAAGCAGGGTTCATTGTCGCACCTCGCGCCGCAAAAACTTCCTTGCAAGAAGCCCTCGCAGAGCCGGGAAGTGGGAAGGGAGTAACGAATCAAGAGCGAATTAAAGTAGGCAGGCCAGGATTTCACCCTCTAAAAAGTGTCTTGCGGACTTCCAACCGCCCTCCCCCAAAACAATTATTGAGTAAGAGTCATAAAAGACAAGGCAGCCCTCCTCCGAGACGGGGCAACTAAAAACAAACTCTTCGAAGTAGTTCCCAAGCAAAATTTTTCGGAACCGTAGTAAGCTCGTTTGTTTTGCGGTTTTTTTCCTTTTCCCCAAAGGCCCCGGCGGCTTTAGCGGCAAAATCCAAGGCAGCTGTCCCCTCCCTCCCAAAACTGAATCTTTATCTCGACTGGATCTCCAAGAACAGATGAAGCACGTCTAACTCAGGCCCCGAAGGAAAGTTATGCAACTTTTCTCTCTCTTCCCCTACAACAGCTTCCAAAAGTTTGCTACAACTCACCCTAAGCAAGCAGCTCCTTTAAAGGACGAAAGGAACGATCTGCAGTCGCGGCTGTCACGGGAGGGAGAGCTCAGTCTCGCTGCCCCGAATTCCAATGGGGCCTGAGACTCGAATTAAGTATCCGGGTAGGGAGAGAGATGGGCGGCGGCGGCGGCCGTGCAGGGTGGGAGAAGGTGAACGTTCCGACTTCGAACGTTGAAAGTCCGGTGAACGTTCTGATTTAGAACGCTGGAGCTTCCAGGAGGTCCGGCAGCGTTCCGTTCCAGGCCTGACCTACGCTTCCTCCCTCCCCTGGCGCTTGCACAGAAGGAGGCCAAGCTCCTAAGCTTTTGATCTGTCAGCCTTTCTTACAGGATGGACCAAGACGCGATGCTTGAAAGGGAGAGGGCGAGAGAGGGTTCCCCCCTCCTCTTTACATACCCATTATCTTGATCTTGAAGCGCTGCGTACTTTCCACCGCAGTGCTGGCAATGGTGGCGGCTCTCGGAGTATCCCAAACAAAGTTACCCCAAACTCTCAGAGTTTGGGCGGTGCAGAAAGTTTTGGCAGCTACATTATTCATGAGCTCAGCGTCTGGGACCAGCCCGATTACATGGTACACCCACGCGCTCTTCGTTCTCCTCCCACGGCTCACTGAAGAGCCGGACTCTGCTAGATTTTTTTCCCCTCTCAGCTAGGCAAGCAGAGCTTCCAGGGGCTGGGTTTAAGGAGTTTTACGGGAATCTCGGCGGAAATCCAGCAGTTATGACTAACAAATCAGGCAAAAAGCAAGCGTACCACCACTTCCTCTGACCACCCCCTTCGGGGCTCTCCCTAATATGGAAACCTACAGCAGAAATCCCATATTCTCTCCTGATTGCAGTTTCAGTGGGTGGGGACTCCTTTATCAGGCAAGCCGAACGTGCCCATGCAAATACTCCCCTAAAGCCATGTCCCGACTTCATCGGCCACTTAACGAGTATTTATTAGCGGTTCAGAGTGGGGCTTTCAAATGCAAAAGTATTTAAGTACACTGGGTGCTACAGGGCAGTGAGGGAAGGGAGCGAAAGAAGATGCCTCGTTATCGGGATTGGGAAATCACCACCCCTTCTTTTCAGTATACATAATCTCAGATCTATTAGTTACTATATAAATTCCCACAGGAGCTTGGCCAATGAGAGGAGGAGACCTGACTTGGGTGGGTTTAGTCTATCCTTTCCCAATTTGTTGCTCTCCAGATGTTTTGGAGGAGATCTCAGTATTCCTGACCATTGGCCATGCTGGCCTGGGCTGATAGAAGTTGAAGTCTGCAACAGCTGGAAAGCATCGGGTTAATGGAAACTGGCCAATAAGTATGTTCTTGTCCTCACTATTGCAAAACTATGGTCACCTTGCTGACTGGGAAGTCTTTTTTAAATCTAAACCTGCATAGGATCGTGCCTTTAGTCAGTTAAATTAACCTGCTAAAGGTGTAATCTCTTTAGTAGAATGCTGAGAATCCTAGTAGTCACAGGAGTTTTTGTGTGCGTGCATGCATGCATGCATAGGCTTGTGCCCTAACACACTTTAACCAATAAAAGACAGTGCCCTATGGTCAGCCAGCCAGCATCTATTGTTCACACAAGTCTGAGTTCCCACTGCGACCTCTTAAAAGCCTTCCCAGGTAGCAGTGTGGCCTCTATCTTCAAAAAGCCCTCCCCTTGCCCTTTCAGCCAGCCACTTTTTTACCTGTGCTAGTCACGGCTCCAAAGAGGAAAGGCTGCCTTCACAGCAGATACCAGGTGGGGGGCATTCAGGGGAAGAACAAGGCACCACTGCATAAGAAAGTGGCCCCAGTGCTTGTGCAGCAGCTCTTGCATGACCATAGAGAAAGAAAGACTCGGTAAAGGAAGTGTCATTCTGAGGAAAAGAATGACAATTGTCAGAGAAACAATTCCCTCCAAGAGACCTGTCCTCTGGAAAGTAAACACACTTCCTCCCATTCTGAGGTCGGGCTACTGTATGGTGGGGAGCTTCTTTTGGTAGGAGACTCCATCATTAATCCAGACAGCTGGGCTTGCAATAGATTCCAGAATCACATGGTGAGTTGCCTGCTTGGAGCCAAGGTTGCTGGTATCATGTGCTGTCCAGACAGTGCAGGGGTGGAGCCAGTGGACTTGGTCCATATTGGTACCACCAATGTAGGCAACTGTAGTCAGAGATTCTTAGAAGCCAAGTGTAGGCTGCTGGGTTAAAAGCCAAGGTGGCTTTCTCTGAAATGATCCTGGTTTCATGTGTAGGGGCAGCAGACAGACACAGCTGAGACATTCCAATGCATAGATGAGGAGTGGTGTAAAGAGGAGGGTTTTGGTTTTGTTAGACTCTGGGAAACACTTTGTGAAAGTGGACCTGTTCAGGACCTGATGGGCTAAACTTGAATCAGAATGGAACTAGACTGCTAGAGCATAACATTAAAAAGGCAGTGATGCAGCATTTAGACTGAACCCTGGGTAAAGCTGACAGGAGCCGGGAAGCATCCAGTTTGGGTCAACTCCTCCTTAGAGGATGAAGGGGAGGAAGTTCCAGATTGCCCAAGCACAGCAGAGAGGATATTGGCAAGGAGGTCATGACAAATCCAGGATAAGTTAGAGAGGACCAAGTGCCGGAATAACAGGTGCATGCAGAAGGAGGGGGACATTGTGCCTAGGTGTTTCTATGCAAACACTAGAAGCCTTGTAGCCAAAATGGGAGAGCTGAAGTGCCTGGTGCAAAAGGAGAATCTAGATATAGTGGACATTCCAGAAACCTGGTGGAATGGAGATAGCCAATGGGATGTGGCCATTTCTTGATATAAACTGATAGAAAGGGCAGGATAGGGCAAATAACGCCCTCTGTGCTGAAGTGGGCATAGAATCCAGCAGGCATGAAAATCCAAAGTGTGAAGACTCATTTGCTCTATGAGTAAAAATTCCTGGCTCCAAGACAAACTTAGTAATGGGGGTTTGCTATTGTCCTCCAGACCAGAATGCTCGGGGAGATTTTGAGGTGGGAAATGAAATCGGGGAGGCCTCCAGCAAAGCCACTACTGCAATAATGGGAGACCTCGACCACCCACACATCAACTGGATGAATGTATATTCCAGTTCTGACAGAGAGGTTGATTTTTTTGATGTCCTAAACAACTGTGGCCTGGAGCAGCTGGTAGTGGAACTAACCAGAGTAGATGCAATCCTAGATTTAGTCCTGGGTGGAGCTGACCAAGACATCATACATGAATATGTAGATATTGTTCAGCCATTAGTGACCATGCTAATCATCATTAAATCTGATGATTTAATATACATTTAGGTTGAAGACTACCAAAGAGCTTGAACATAGTTGTATTTTGACTTCAGAAGAGGAAGCTTCTCAAAATTAAGGGAGCTGGTTAAGCAGAAACTGAAGAGGGGAAACAAAGAGATAAATTAACTTTGAAGTACTTGGGGATTACTCCAAAATACTATATCAGAGGCACAGGTAATATGCATACCACAAGTGAAGAAAGGCAGCACAAAATCCAGAAAGTATCAACATGGTTAACAAGCAAGGTCAGGGAAGTCATCAGGGAGAAAAATAAGCTTCCTTCAAGAAATGGAAGTCTTGCCAAATGGAAAGAATAGAAGGGACCACAAGCTTGCACAAAGGAGAGGTACAAGGAAACAATCAGAGAAGCAAGGAAACAGTTGGAGGACAATATCACTAACATCAAGACCAACGATAAAGAATGCATTTGCCATTTTGATGCCCATTCTCCCAGCCTGGTGGAATCCCTGATCTCCCTTGGATCCCTTTTTGAAAATTGGTGTTACATTGGCCATTCTCCAGATCCCTGATACAAAAGCTGTTCTGATGAGCATAGTATATATTTTCAATAATAATAATGTCAATAATTTCATATTTGAGCTCTTGAAGAACTTTAGGATGGATATCATCTGGGCCTGGTGATTTATTAACTTTGTCAAGATTGAGAATGTCATCCTTTGTTACTACCTTAATTCCACAAACCCTCAATCCTGAATACCTAAATTCAGGAACAGGTATCTGTTCTATATCCTCATCTTAAGCCGTATTTTTTGAAAAGCATTCAGTTTCTCCACAATCTCTTTATCTTCCTTTCATGCTCACTTAATTCCATTATCCAATTCATCCAATGATTCAACTGCCTCTCCAATTGATTTTTCTTTCTTCTGATATATTTAAATAATTTTGTAGTGTTGGTCTTGGTATGGTTAGTGATATGCACCTCAAAGTTTTTTGGGGGTTTTTTTTTTGTTTCTTTTATTGTCTGCTTGCATCCCCCTTGAGGCAAGCTTGGGCTCCTTTTTGTTTTCCTTACCTAGGCAACATTTCCAATTTTTGAAGGAAGCTCTCTAATAGTTTCCATGGCTGTACTTGTTAACCATGCTGGTGACCTCTTGGACTTCTTGCTACATTTCCTGACTTGTTATAAGCGTACCATCTGTGCCTTTTTATTGTGTTTTTGAGTAGTCTCCAAGCAATTTGAAGGGAAGCATTAATCCTCTTGACTCTCCCCTGTAACATTCTTTTTTTTTTTTACCATTCCCTCATTTTAGAGAAGTTTCCTGTTTTGAAGTCAAACACAAATGTGTTGGATCTCTTTAGCAAACTTTCATCTAACTACATATTAAATCTGTTAGCATTGTGGTCACTGTTTCCAATTGGTTCAGCAACAGTTACATCCCATACTATGTCCTGGGCAACCGCACCTAGCATTAAATCCAAGATTAAAGGTCAAGTTAAAGGTAAAGGTTTCCCCTCGACGTTACATCCAGTCATGACTGACTCTAGGGGGCAGTGCTCATCTCCGTTTCCTAGCCGAGGGAGCCAGTGTTTGTCCACAGTTTCCATGGTCATGTGGCCCTGCTGTTACCTGCCCACCAAAGTGGTACCTTTTTATCTACTTGCATTTGCATGCTTTTGAACTGCAAGGTTGGCAGGAGCTGGGACAGAACTCATCCCATTGTGCAGATTCGAACTGGTGACCTTTTGATCAACCAGCCTAGCAGCACAGCAGTTTTTTAAACCACTGTGCCACCTGCAGTCCTGCAGTCCCCAAATCCAAGATTGTCTCCCCTCTAATTAGTTCTGACAAGAAAAACCAGAGAGAGGAGGCTAGGGGTGTACAATCAAAAGAATACATACAGAGTTTAGGGGAGGGTGGAGGATTAGGTAGGCAACCAGATAGGCAGTTTGCTAGAGGCACATGAAAGTATAACAGAAAGGATTGAATGGATTAAGGCAAACAACCCAAAAGGAAGAACTCTCAGCAAAGGTATACATTAGCATATCTAAAGTGGGACAGTTTAGATAACGTTCTTATAGACAAGGCTATGGTTTTCCCAGTTGCAATGTATGGCTGTGAAAGCTGGACCATAAGGAAGGCTGAACCCCAAAGGATTGAGGCCTTTGAATTGTGGTGCTGGAGGAGACTCCTGCGAGTCCCTTGGACCACAAGGTGATCAAACCGGTCAGTCCTAGAGGAGATCAACCCTGACTGCTCTTCAGAAGGTCAGATACTGAAGATGAAACAAAAATACTTTGGCCACCTAATGAGAAGGAAGGACTCCCTGGAGAAGAGCCTAATGCTGGGAACAATAGACGGCAAAAGAAGGGGACAGCAGAGGATGAGGTGGATAGATGGATTCACTGAAGCAGTTGGTGAGAGCTTAAGTGGACTCCAGGGGATGGTGGATAGGAAGGCCTGGAGGAATGTTGTCCATGGGGTCGCCATGTGTTGGACTCGACTTTGCAACTAGCAAGCAAGCAAAGTGGGACAGGCATACATTAGCTTATCTAAAGTGTAGGTGGACACCAAGACTTGCAACATGGACTTTTGATGTGATCAAGAATCCCATCTTAAGTCTAAAGCTGTTCTTAACCTGTCAGGCTTTCGGCAGCAATATTGCTTTTGCTCATTTTGTCCTGACAGTTCCATGATCAGCTGTTCCAAGGCACAGTCATTTAGGACATCAAGAAATTTTTATCTGAAAAAACTGGAGCATATATATATATATCCAGTCAATGTGTGGGTAGTTGAAATTACCCATGATAACACTAGTGTCTCTGTTTGAAGCTTCCCTGATCTTATTCTTCATCTGATGATCACTCTTGAGAATTTTGACCTGGAAGACAATAGCATGTTCCTATTACTAAATTAGTACTGATGCCAGGTATTGTTACCTACAGTGCTTCTGTTGAGGAGTCTGCACACTTTAGATAATCAAGCCTGCTGGACACTATGCCCACATTAAAATAGAGTGCAACGAATCTTCCAGTACACTCTTCCATTCTTCCGCCAGTTAATACCTAGAGTTGACTGTATCCATTGGTTTTCTTCATTCCACCAGGTTTTCATAAAGTCCAGTTTTAAAACCTTAAAAGTACACCTTTAATACCTTTAAAGGTGTACTTAAAAACCTTTTAAAGTACACCTTTAAAACCAGGCACTCCAAATCTCCTAGTATGGACTTGAGGCTTCTTGGATTTTCACAGAACCACTTAAACACAGTGTCCTTTTCCAGAAACATGCAACTTATGTTTTGGCATTTAGTTCTCTCCATCTGATCATCTTGTCTCACCATATGCTCATGGCTTTTCTTCCTTCCTAGAGTTGGGCAATCAGAAACTCCCCCCACCCCTTCATCCACTAAGGATAATTTAACCCAATCAGATGCTGTCAAGTTTTCCTCAGGGATCAGTTTAAAAGCTGTTCTACCTTTTTAAAGTAATGGGCCAGCATCTAACCAAAACTTTTTAAAAAAATTTGTTAGGTGATCTAAGTTATTCATTTGTGGAGAAATGCCCCTCTGTACTTGAGGCACTATTAAATTACTTCTTCCTATGCCCTTTGAGTCCTAGCTGCAGGAAGAGGCCTGACATAATAAATATCACATTATACATCTATTGATATATACATGTGGCTGGCTGTAGAGAAAGAGATAGTGAATTCACTAAGAAATAGAGTTCTTTTATCCAGCTAAATATTTATATGTTAATATTCTTAGATTTTATATATTCAGCTCAGAAATTAAACTCAATTCATACCCCACAACTGCACCTCATCAAGCTGTAATTCTAGGAATACACTCTCTAGGGAATAAGCCCCATTGAACCCAGTAGAATTTACTTCCAAGTAAACAGACATAAGCTTGGTTATCTAATTTAACCAATCTGGAATATATCTCGTAATGTCATTCTGCTAGCTTTTGCAGCTTGAAGAAATCCCATTTTCATTCTTGCACAAGTGTCAAACCCAGTAACTTTTATTACACTCATAAGTACCACTGCAAGCCATTGAACAACTCATTTTGGCTTCATTAGATGAATTGTTGCTTGCACTAGCTGTTACAGAGCCGCTAAAGGAACACCACCAATCCTGTAATTTTTCCCGTGGTGTAATTTTAGCTATGCTTTGTATTAAAATCAAACTCTTGAAAAGGCTTAGATTGTTCTTCCTATGTTACAGTCCCCAAACTAACCAAAGGGGCAACTTCGGGGGAGTTTGAATGTATTTTACTCACAGCTGGAGATGTTGGAGACAAAACCTAGGACCTTGTAAATGTGTGTATCAGATTGAAACTAGCTAAGCTAGCTGGAGAATACTTTGCTAAGAATACAGTCCTTGGGTGACTGCTCCAGGGACCATAGGAAGACTCTTATTCCCCTTTTGAAATTGGACACAGCACTTCAATTTGGAAGGGGAGAGTTGGAGATTCAATCCCTGGTACCTGATGTGGACAGAATTGTACTAGCTGCCTCTACAAGGTTAGAAAACTGACCTTGGAGAGAGGAAAAGAAACATTCTTGAAGGTGGGAAAAGGAGGAGATTGGAGAGGATATGATTTCTTATACCTCCTTTCCTCCCCCTCTAAAGTGCTTTTGCCTAACAGGAGGCAAAGACTGCTTCCGCCACTGCTCTGGCAGGTTCATCCCAGCAGAATTTCGGTGTCTCAGACATTTCAGAGTTGGTGAGCACATGACATTAGGATTGCATGCTAAATATGTTACCTTCAGATGTTGGACTGCAACCCCCATCATCCTTTACCACTGGCTATAATGGCTAGGGATAATGGGGAAGGAAGTTCAAAAACAAAGCCAAACATTCTCTACTGCTAACATATACATACCATTCATGCAACTACCTGCTTTACACCAAAATATGTCACATACAGCTATGGTTTTCTATGATTTTATTAACTTCCTTGATTCACATATTTTCTTCTATATATACGCAGATCAAACTCTCTTGCCTATGCAACTCTACAAGTAATTAATCTGTACCATACAAAACTAGTAGTTTCTGCCACTGTAACAGCAGTATTCAAATGGGGAGCTGGTAAACAGTAAGCTATCCAAGGGCACTGATTCAAGACAACTCACACATAGAAAGTACCATCTTTAGGGAGCCAAGAATTATTATTTACTTTAACACAACCATTTTTGTGATAAGCTGCTGCTGCCTCTTATACAGTAATTATTAGTGGACAGTTAGAGATGATTTTTTTCTACATTTCTGATAGCAGCTTGACCAACACTAACATAGTAATTGAAAGAAATGGGACAGAAGAAATAGTATTGCATGTGTTCCTTTACTCTTACATATCAGAAAAAAGATAGGAAATAAATGTTTGGTCACCATACCAATAATTAGTGCTTTATTTTATGCAAAAGACAGTTGTACATAAGATCAGAAAAGCTTGCATGATCAAATTAATGCTTTCTTAGCATTTGACAATTCTACCTTCCATCTGGCAGTATTTTAGCACCAATGGAATTCAGCCTGTAAACAATGTCTCATGACTCTGCCCCAGGAAAGTGTTTTGACTGGTCCATATGTTCTGTTTTCTGACATTGTTTTTCATAATTCCATACGTTTACTGAGAGAATACTATTTGATGTTGCGCACTATTCGTCTGCAGTGATTTGTTTTCATTTCTCCCAGAGCTTGTTCGAGTTGCTGAATCAGGTGGAGCAATGTAGCAGGGTCAGTTTGTAATATTTTGGTAGTTTGATTTCCATTCTGGTTAAGGTGGAGTTTCAGAATCACAGCTGGTTTAATTTGTTGTCTCAGACTTCTGCTGGCAAGCTATACAAATGGTGAGGTAGGAAAAAGTAATAATGCTATAAAAATAGCAACATTGCATTTATAATGTAACAGTAGTTAAAGAACGCTATTTGTTTCATCTCTTAATATTTATATACCACTGCACATCTAAACAAATTCCAAAGAAGCAAACAATAAGATATAAAGATTAAACAATCATGTTAAAATGCTTTTGGAAACCAAAACTACCAATCAAGTGTACTTTTTTGCAGGTATATATTTTAATTTCCAGATATTTGGTGCTATACTTTGAGGTTTGACTAATTAACTGCAAATGCCCTTTGGTGGGCCTATTTTGGTATGGCAAAAAGAAAATAGATGAGAAAGAATGATACAAAAACAGACTATTGCCATTTGATATGTTTGAGAGGTAGTGTGGAAGCAGAGTGTGGCTCTGGGGACCTGGGAGATCTAGTTCCTAGTCCCTGCTCAGCCATGAAGCTCACTCCGTGACTTTGGACCAGTCATAGACTCTTAGCCTAGCCTACTTCTCAGGGCTGTTTTGAGGAGAAGATGGAGTGAAGAACCATTACATAGTCTGCCTTGGGTTCCTCACAAGAGGAAAAAAGGCAGGATATAAATACAATGAAACAATAATAATTTGTTAATTGTTGGCCTATCAGTACATTCAGCCCAGGGAAGGCTGCAAATAGTCTCTCTGTGATACAGGAAGGAAGGAAGGAAGGTTCTTCCTTCATCTGGCTGGCCAGCCGTAGCTTCAAAATTAGCACCATAATAATGGTGGCCTACTACAGAAAGTAGAAGGAAAAATGTACAAAGAACACAGAGGCAAAGAGCCCATTTGTGGTAAATTATACCTGTTTCTTGAAAAAAAAAATTGAAGCTATGAACTTTCCTGAGTCTTTGGAAGCTGTGACTCTCAATATTTTTCCCATTCAAGATAACAGTGTGTGTGTGTGTGGGTGCACATCCATGTATCTGTAGATATGCACATTCATATGTGATTTATCCTGCCAGACAATTTAGGGCACAGTCCTAGGTACATCTAGATAGAAACAAGTCCTACAACTCCCAAACTTACCCAGCCAGAATGTAAGATCATTTTCTGTTTAAACATGCATAGAGTACATGCTCAGTTGCTGATATCTATTATCACTTGCATATTTTACCTTTCATTGAAGTTGTTAAAGACAACCTTGTTTCTTTCTGAATTTAATAAACTATATTTCAACAGCTTACTAAATGTTCTGATTCATTTTAACTTTCAGCAACATAAAAATTATAATTTGAATAAAATGTTAATACATCTGTCTGCAACAAAATGGACTATTGGTGTATTGGCTGAGCTAGTACTTATACAGAGGTGGGCAATTTATAAGAGGATTCCTTTAATATGAAACTACTGCTTCAAAGTCCACAGAAGCTTAAGTAAGCTGAACTTTACTGGCAAATTATTAGTAACTTCACTGAGCACTTTCTAGTATCCTATTGTGAATAATCATATGCAAAACAAAGAAAGAATAATACTACAGCTCCTTATAATTAAAAACACTTTATAATTAGTTTGACAATTTATGTGTTGCAAAAACTAAAACAAATATGTGAACATCAACTAAAGATTTGCACCCTTACCTGCACATCTAATCTCCATTCAAGACTGTGATAACTAGGAAGTTTTGGTGCTAATTCACTCAGAATACTTCTAATCTCCTTCCTGTTGTCGAGATACAGCTGAAGTAATAAACTATTCAATTCTTCGGAGAATCCTAGTACAAGTACAGAGTCTTGGAAATCTATCTCAGATATCTAAAAGAGTAACAGCAAGAATAACTTGAGTTCTTGATTGAGCCTATTGTTTTATTAGCTCCAAAACTATGTAGTAATTGCTTTAAGATCACACATCCTACAGTCCAATATACTTGATCTGTAGAAATCACAAGGTGGTACTTTTCACAGCACTTAAGTTAACATGTGTATTTGCTATTAAAGTCAAAGGAGAAAGCATTGGTTTTAAAAACTAAAATAACTCTACATGACAGATGCACCAGAACAGGATTTTGTGCTAGTTTTTCTGAATGAAATACAGTAACATGTGAAAGTCTACTCATGCAAGAGGAATTTTTCCTTGTTTCCTCACCCTTCCAGCCCCTCAAAATCTGCTCCAGAGGGTCCCACAGTCCTCTGGAGTAGATTTTGGGGGCATGCAGGGTGAGAGGGAATCAATATCTCCTGTTCCACTGAAGGAAACTGTTCTTAACCAAATTCCAAAAGCTCCCATCTGAAACACCACATTTTTTAAACTTTTAAAAGAAAGAAGTCTCAAGGGTTATCTCATTATCTGGAGTATTGTGAGTTACACTTACCAGGAGTTTTGAGCTCTCAGTGAGAAGATATGTTAATCCTTCAACTCCATGCTGAATTGTTTCACTACTAACATTGAGTTTTCCTGGAAAAGAAAAACCAAAAAGATACTACAAACAGATTTGTTATTTAGGACCAATCCATTGTGATACATAAGCTAATATCTAATGAAAAGTGGCTCAGCTTACAAACCTAAGCCCACTTAGTAGGAAGTAGTAGCTCTCAGACAGAAAGCAATAGTATATAATACTGTTCCTCATCTTCATTCTGTTGGGATACAGTGCCAGCACTGGGTCATGTGCTTTTTCTGAAGTCATGGACTGCCAACTTAGAATCCTTGGTTTATTTCAACTGAGCTGACTCAAGTGGAGCAGCTTGACAACTGCATAAGAGTTTATTTCAGCTGTGTTGCTGACTTGAACTAATTAATAGAGGCTAAGAGGAGAAACTTGCCCTTCATTAATTAGAAATATTTTAGGATCACAAACCTAATCCAGTTTTGTTTTGCCTTTGAAAAGTTTCCTTTGCTTCTGAAGCAGTCACGTATTAAAACTATTAACTATCTAAACCACCTCTGTCCTTTTCATGAGTTACAAGACTGCATTTGCTCCAAAGAAAAATTTGTTTTGATATCTATGAGAGAGAGAACACATTAGAACAATAGCCAACCTTGTATTTAAGCATTCATCAGGCAGCCATAGGTAACCAGTACATGCATGCAAACAAATGAGCAGGCTGGCTGAGGTGGGATGAAGTGCTTATTACTCCTCTGCATCCAGTGTAAAAACCAAGCAGGCTGTTGGAGGAAGCCAGATCCCTCCATATACTCAGCATAAGAATGGAGGTCTTTGTCCCTCCTCCAACTCTAGTAATAATCTTTGCAGGCTAGTAATTGTTTATTTGGGGGAGGGGCTGATTGCAAGGCTGCAGTACACCCTATTCATTCAGATGAACTATGTTTCTCAGGCTGAGAATTAACCTTGTGCAAGAGCTGTCCTCTGACAGCCTCCCTTTCCTCCTTTCTACTAACCCTAACTTTTGGCACTGGTATCCTAGTTTGTTAAAACGCAATCTTTCATGCTATTCAACCCAGGAAACTGTGGTTTAACCCATGTTTTCACATTAGGATATGAAACTACTTTGGTTCTACAGACAAATCTCATTCCTAGTTCAATAAACCATGGTTTATTGAAACATTACAATTATATCTGAACTAGGCCTATGCTTACAGCAGCATATTATTCAGCTGATATGATCATTCCTCTTTCTGCTATAAGCTCCCAAGAAATATTGCCCTTCAGTCATTGTCTTCTTACTTGCTGCGCCTTCATAGATTTTTGGATTTGTGCCTTTCCTTAAAAACTCCATAGCAATACGACCAAATTCACTGACAACTGGGGAAAGAAAAGAATAATTTTCAGATCCTGGTGAATACATTATGATTTAGTAACAGAAAACAAACTCTCTTGGAAATAATCCAATATAATAAAGCATATCTAAGTCCACTATAGATTGCAAATCAATGGTCCGGTTCACATGTAATGGCAACCCAGATTACAGCTTGCTGTTAAATCATGAATTGTCTCTGTGTGTGAACCCTGCATTATGATTTAATAACTGGTTTTTTACCATGAACACCATAAGAAAAAAAAATACATAAGTTTTTTGTTGGGTTGTGAATTTTGTGTTGTAATGCTAATCCTATAATTTGGCTGATAACTGAATGAACCATTGTTTGTTTTCCAATCCCTGGGGTTGTTTATCTCCCCAATCTTTCACCTAGTCCCTCCTTTTATTCCAACTGACTTTGCAACACTGAAGCTTTGGCATGTAAAGAGGCTTGATTTTTTTTTGACAGCTCTTACTCAGTACCTCTATAGCCTGACAGAACAATCTATTAACAACTCGGTGATTGTGGGTTTGTTCATAACAGCAGCCATAGTTTAAATAAGCCACAGTTCACAACCCAAGAACAAGCCATCTCTTTGTGGTTAATAAATCTTAGTTCTGAGTTTGCAGATAATGACTATTCACAATTCAACGATCAGTTTTTAATTATGTGTGAGCCAGGTCACAGTGATGAAAATCAGAAGGACCAGCAAAACATGATAGGGTAACAGAATAACATTTAATTGGTATTTGCTGTGAAGCTTGGTATTTCATACTAATTTTAAAAGTTTCAGCAATGTGTACACTTTTCATTCCTGAATTTCTGGTAGGAAAATTCTACCAGCTGACTATCAGAAAGCTAAGAACACTATAATATTATAACAATCCTTGAAATTTTAGGGGCTTAAAAGAGGAGGAGAGGTTGCAAACCTCAAAATAAGCTGAAGAAAATTGTGTTATATTTACAAATTGGGCATGTGTTTAAAATTGATGCTATATTCCTTTTTCCAGAAAATTAAAACATTCCCTTTCAAAAAATCAGAAAAATCAAAGCAGCAGGGAAAAGCATTCTCAAATATTGTATACAGTCTGCAGTCTTGTACTCCTTTTGAATTAATCCAGAATGCTGGATCTGTATTCAGTTACTAAAAGATGAAAGTGTTAAGACTCCCCACATATCTCAAAGGTGAATAAAAGGATTGAGAAAATTATTTTTACTGTTCTGTTTTCTGGTAACCAGAAATTAATGTATGTTAAATGAACCAGAGCAGAATCACAGAGATTTTCATTATATTGGTACTACACAAAACTGCTGGAGACATGTGGTTGCTAATGACCTACACCTCCATGTTTCCTCAATACTGCTCTCACATTCAGCATTAACACACAGGCACAAGTGGACACTAATGAACTCAATCTGTAGCAGGGAAACTGTGAGGGGGTGGGGAGAGGAGCTGCAAAAGCAAGGGCGGTCTGGCCTTAGGCAGGCCACAATCCACATCACATTGAACAACAATTTCACTAAGAAACTAGTGCTGTCTATTAATAATGGGACTGTGAGAAACTAATGGACAAATTGAATCAATTTGGCATAAACATTCTTGCCTGCAAAATGACATTGCCTGGGCATCCACAGGTTAGTTCAGATTCCGAGCTCTGAGGCTGGAGATAGTATTCTGAAATTTGAGCTGAGAATTGGAATTCTAATCCCCCACTTCCATACAACCTGTATGGAAATATCCATGCCACCTGCTCTCTGGGGGCAGGAAAGAGACCTTGGAGAGGAGTTAAAGAAAGCAGGAGGTTGCAGGGAAGGGAGAGAATGGAAAGCCCAGGATAAAGTCTCATGAAAATGCAGGCTGAGAAGAGTAGGGAAGCAAAAAACCAAAACAAAAGCTTCTGTTGCTTCTCCTGTTCTACATTGCAGGTCACTTAAGTGTTGATATGATTATGTTCCAATCCTGCACATGTTTACCTGGAAGCAAATCCTACAAAACTCAATGTGATTTGGAAATTTCAGTATAAGTATTATTAATAAACAAATGGGATTTAGTTCAGTGTAGTCACTGACTCTCAGCATAACATACTTCACAGGGTTGTTATGAAGAAAAATTGGGAACATAGGATGGCCCTCTAAGCCATTCTGAGTTCCCTGAAAGGGGGGGGGAACCTCAGGATATAAATGTAGTAACAGAGACATGCATAGGATTGCGCTGGTAGATTGCAATCCTAAGCACGCTAGGTTATTTAGCTGACCCAGTAGACCATTGTTTTCAGTGGTTCAGCTCCGACCTAGTCTGTGTGCAACACTGAGGAAAGGAAGCCTTACTGAAAACAGCGGGGCTTACTTTCGAGAAAGCATGCGTTAGGATTGCGCTGTAATAAGGGCCAGACAAGACCCGGGGGGCAGCAAGGTATGCGTAACGCTCGAGGCACTCCCCGTGATCCCCTCTCGGAGGGCGGCAAGCAACGACGTCGGTGTGAAGGGGCCGTGCCCCGGAGCCAGCTGAAGCTCCCTCCACAGGCCCGCCTCGGGCGAGAGACACCATGAGCGAGGCCAGTCGCTCGTACCTGAGCTTTCCACCTGGGGAAGGAAGCCCAGGTGCTCCTTATGCTCCTCCGACAGCACCAGCAGCATCTTCCTGCCTCCACGCCCCGCCCCCGTCGACCAGAAACGACGCGACGCAGCCGGCGGAACCTCGGTCGAGCGGTGTTCGGCCACAAATGCCCCGGAGGAGAAGCCGCTCCCGCGCCGAACGTTCCCGCGCCGAACCGTTCCCCCCGGAAGACGAGGCGCTTGGCGTGGGACTGCCGGGCCTAGTTCGCTCGCTCTCTAGCGGCGCTCGGTCTCTGGGGCTTCTCCGAACGAGTTGCGGGTCCGCGGCGTCGCCGTGTGGGAGGCCGCGATGAACCCACCCGAGGATTAGGGCGCTTTCGCAGCGGCAGGGTGGGCAGAAGGTGGAGGCAAGGCCCACGAGGCCTGGGGCTCTGAGTCTCCGGGAGGCCATCTGCCCACCTCCCCGCTCTCCAGGGACTCGCTGAAATAAAGGTACAAGGACCCGAATGATCTTTCTCACATCGGACCCCTCTGCATTCGCTGGCCTCTCGCCCACATGTGCTGCACCTCCTGTTGCCACTCGTTTGAACCTTTCTGCTTCAGTTTTTTCTGAAAGCAGATGCCCTGTTGCCTGGCCGAAAGAGCTATACAGGGGCTGCCTTGTGTGGGTTCTTTTCCCATCCCTTTATGTGTTGAGCTCCACAGTAATGCTTGCAAGCAGTGTATGATATAAGGGTATTCAAACCGCTGTCCTGGAAATATGGCTGAGGGCACATATGCCTGGGGTGCATAGTGGATTATTACAATTCGAGGGTAGCCAGGAGTGGGTTTTTGTGTGACAGGACTGTGAGCTCCAATCGGTTCTCAGATTTTTGGGCGCAGAATTCCTTGATTCTGCTTCGCAGCAGTTTCTGGGTGGTGAATCTCAGGGCTCTAATACACAACCAAATAGATCCTGCCGGCTGAAAGCCTGTCCATCCCTGCTGGAAGAGATCCCTTTCATGGCACTCTTCAAACGGTTTTTAAAATCAGGAGTTGAGTATATTCAGAGATATCAAATAGTAATGATAAAGAAGAAGCTGTCTCAGTGCATGTAGAGAGTGCAGGATCCTGCATGGGCATATCTAAGGTAAAACTGGTGTTGTCTAACACTTCATTAAAGGGGCTGGGGTATTTCTATGCCCCTTTGACAGTTAAAAACTACAGTTACATCGTTGAAAGGCTAAATGGCCAGTTGCAATAGCATAGTTGATAGAGGATTAAATAAATGTTCTACCTTTGAACTGGTGGCCTTTAGGTGTGTGATATAAATATATGGCTGTTTGGGCTGCCTTTTGGGGCTGTGTATTTATTTTTAATAACAGTATGTTTTGTAATATATTAATGCATAGCAATATATAATATGTGTAACTCGTGTTACAAACCTTTTAAAATTTATTCTTTTTATCTACTGGTTCAAGTTTGTTTTGTTTTTCTGTTGCATAATTATTTAAGGGGGAGCTGGCGAAGAACATCCAGTTTGGGCAGCAAAATATCTTGGGGTGCTCCTGGTGAAAAATGCATCCTTAAGTTTCATTTAAAATCAAATAAAATTTATTTTTAATCACAGCAAAAAGTGGAATTGTAACTTTCCCTCAGTTTAATGTCCCATGTAGATATTCTCCCATGTCTGGGAATGTATGCACAGTTGGGGTAGTTCTGTTACAGCGCTCATAACTGAGTGGATGCAAATAGGGAGATGCTTGAACCAACTCAGGTAAGTACCATTTCTAGTGCTTGGCTGGATCATGTTCCAGTTTCATTATGAGAATTCTATGCCTTGGTTTTCCAGCCTTACCACATGGGCCATTGGGGGCTGTTGCTGTGTGTGTCCCTTGACCACTCTTTGCTTATTTGTTAGCATTTTTTCCTCTCTTCATGGGTTCTCATCCCAAAATTGAGTTGTAGGCCTTCTGCCAAAGGGTCTATGTAGGGGGTGTGTTGTGGGGGTTCTTCCATCCCTTTGTGTGTTGAGCTCCAGAGTGATGCTTGTAAGTAGTGTGTGGCATAATGGGATTCAAACCACTGTCCTGGAAATACACCTGGGGCACAGACAGTAGCAGGTTGTTACTGCCTGTGCCAAGGGAGAGCAGGCAAAGGGGGTGTGTCCTGTGATGTGGCATCATTGTGCATGCTGTGGTGCAGGGAGGTGTCTCAGGAGCATGTCCCCCTCATCAAGAATTCATTGACCCTGGGCATGTCTGTGTGATGCAGTGACATTGCCACTGGAACGGCCCCTGATAGTGGACAACAGTGGTGTTTCCACAGAAAATCCAAATAAGGCATCCCAATAAATGTACAATGAAGAGGAAGGAAATTAATCCAGACAAAAACAGCAAAGGTACTTATTTATTGTTACATTTATATCTGTCTGTTTTCCTCTTTAAGCAACAGATATCATTAAGTCTGTAAGTTGTCTTTGGGTCTTAAGTCTACAACCATGTCTTGGCCTGAGTTAGGAATGATGTAGTTTACAGTCTCCAGCTTTCACCATTCAGTATTAACTTAACATTATTACGCAAGCAAACTTCTGCTCATGCAGTGGTAGTCTCCCTCCCCCGTACCCCAAATCTAACCAAGACTGTGCCCCAGCACTCCAAAGAAGATTGGAAGCTGACTGTAGGGGAGTGGAAGAGGTAACCTTTCTGCTGCGGTGAAGACAGTTGAGTATGATCAAATGGGTGAGTAGAGTCTAGTTCTCAAAGATAACTCTTCTATTTATTCACACATAGAATATCTCTATACACATGGGATAAGGTAGAAATATCCCTCAGGATCCAAAAAGCTATTGGGAAAAGTTCCACTGCCATTTCTAACCATCACTTCTATTTGAAAAGCTACCTCATCTTAGATAAAGCTGTATTTATATTAACCTGCTGGCCGGTTACAAGATCGGGCAGTCTACAGTGCCTGATCTTGTAAGAGCCCCCAAATACCCACCCACAGATCATATAATACCTTCTTAGACAGTCTGACATAAATATAGTTTGTGGTATGGTCCTGTTCATCTTGAGTCAGAAAAAAGTCTCACCATACATAGGATTGCACCCATAATACGCCTTTCTTAATCTTCTAATTGGCATGAGGAAAATAAGGCTGAGGATTCACAATTAAAGTGTGTGTGTAGCACAGTATCCAAATGCATCTTTTCTTTTAAGATGGACTGTGTCCTGGGTCTGATCAGTACAGGGGCTGGCATATGCTTTTTTTAGCCAAGGTTCTTGCAATGCCCAGTTGTTGGAGCCATGGTTTCTCTTTAAATGCACTGCAACAGAAGATTGAAACACAATGTTCGTGACTTGTGCTGCCAAGAAGAGTATATAGTTTTGCATATATGTAAACCTCACACCCTCAAACTCTGCTGTAATAAAGGAGGTTGAGTTTGTAATAATAGCATAGTTGGAATATGTACCTTTTGTAGAACCTAGTAAAGGATTTCTGCTCATGAGGCTGCTTCCATCAGCAGGACTGGAAGGGAGCAATTCCCCCCTCCACCCACAACATTTGCAATGGAGCATTTGGGGAACATATGTTGCAGACTGGGGAGGAAAGCAGAGGCTGCAGAGGAAAGAGTGACATCAGCTTTTTCCCCTGGATTATCAATATTACTGCTAGTATTCCTATAGCACCATCAGTTTACATACATCTTTACCAAGTAACACAAGCAAAAGGCAGGTATCTGCCCTGAGGAGGTTGCAATCTGCATTTTACCAAGGAGGGAGATAGAGGGAAAGGAGGACAAAGGAGAAGGAGTAACAAGGGTTGGGTTTAATGGGAGCCCCTGCACCTGTATTTAGGCTTTATTAAGCATTTAGCAACTAAACCAGCTTCCCCCTCCAAAATAGGAGCCTATTTGACTACAGCTCCCATCATCCCCAGTCAGCATTGCCGTCCAACCCATTTGGGGAGCACCAGGTTCAGGAAAGTTGGGTCAAACTTGCAAGTATAACTTAACAAAACAACAACAACAAAAACTGGAGCTTGTCTATTGGCAGAGCATAGATGTGGTAGGTAGAAGTTCTAGACAGGAGTGGCAGCAAATGGTCAGAACATTTTAAGAGGACTTGTAATCTGCAGGCAGCACAGAATGGGCAGCGTCTGGAAAGAAAATCATGGACAGAAGTTTGAGGACAGAAAGTTGAGGGGGGTAAAATCCTGGAAAGCCCTTAGATTCAGAGGATTACAAGCAGTTTCCACCCAAAGTTAAAAGACCTAACATGCGAATTCTTACAGCATGTATTTTAAGAGTCCTATTTATTTATGTTCTTATAGTGCAGGTGCAGTGGAAAATGTTGCCCACCACTCTGTCATTGGAGTCTTAACGTTGGAGTCCCCTGATTGGTACCTCATATGGCTGGAAACATTTTTAGCCTGGTTGCCAAACTATGAGTTATTACTGACCTTCAGACCTCCAGTTGTTAAGGTCATTAGCCATGCTTGCCATTTTGACAGTCCATCAAATTATGTGGCAACTGTGCATTGATTCCACCAAAGGAGTTTAATAACTTTGAGGACAACTGGAGGGAAGCACAGTTTTCAGTATGGTGCATATTCTTATTATGTTTTATATGCATCATTCTGTTACTGCTGCAGAGGCAGGCTGTAAGTGTCAGGCTGTTTACACTGTGGAACCACATTTTAAGCAACCGGGCGTAGAGGCTTCCAATACACTAACGGCAAGTCACATGGTGAATACTGGAAAAGGCCCCAGTTGATCACATAAAACAGTTTCTTGCCTGTACAAACTTCATGAACACAAGAACAAATATTTGTTCCTCTGTATAATCCTGTTCTGAACACAGAGTTTGGGCATAACCTTCACCATGTCGTGAGCGGAGCCGGCTGGAGCCGGGAGCCAAATTGGATGGCCTGGGAGGCCCCTTCTGGCTTTGTTTCTATGTTGCTATGATATCCTGGTTTCCTGTGTGTAGAATTCTGCAATCCCACACTTGGAGTCCAAGAACAATTTTACCATAAGATGAGCTGCTCATCTAGACTAGATGTGGGCAGTTCATGGCTTTTGAGACATTGTTGAACTGCAATTCCCATCAATCCTAGCCAACACAAACAATGGTGATGGATGATGGGAGTTGCAGTCCAGCAACATCGGAAGGGCCATAAATTGCCCAGCCTTGAACTAGACCAAGCAAAGCATTATAGTCTGGTGAAGATTGATCATTGCACAGATACTATTTTTAATGTTTCAACAGCTAACGTAAAGTTTACTTCTGCTCTGTGTACATTTCAGGAAAAAAACACGTTTTGCTTCCAGTCCAAAAACACCTAAGAGCATAGAGTTGTAGAAATCTCTCATTTATGCTGCGACAACAAAATGGGAATCCCTGGGTTGGTGTGGAAAACTCACCACTGGAAAGAACAAGAGTAGCGCTTCGGTAAATTTGTTAACAACTCAGGATCTAAAATCAGTTCCGTTTAGGCTGGTTTTAACTAATGTTGGTTAGAACAAACCAGAGTTCCAAGACTTTGGACATAACAAGGAACTTTGGTTTGTTCTGAAGTGACAGAAGCAGCTGAGGCTTGCTCGGTTTGTTCTCAATCACCCTCCACTAATTCATGTGACACAGACATGCTCTTGCTTCTGCTTATTACCAGACTCTTAACTTACTTTAATCTTTTATACTTTTGCAGCTTTTGGCTCACTCAGTGATTTTTTGCTGTTTGCCACAGTTTTAAGACATCAATGTGTTAAGATACTTTTTTTCTTCAGTCATGTATCAGATTTAAACAATGAGGTTGATGTACTGAAATGCGAAGGGGGCGGCATATAAGCTGTCTAAATAAATAAATAAAATAAATACTGCCACATGGTGGCAGTGTCCACTCGTCGACAGCTTTTTAATTGGCATTTTCCAAACTGCACCCCTCTAGATGCTTTGAACATCAACTCCCATTATCCCCACCTCAGACCAATAGCCAAGAATGTTGGGAGTTGTCATCCAAACCATCAGCAGGGGACCAGGCTGGAGAAGGATGTTCTACATATTTCCAGCATCCACTTATAAGATTTCAAACGCTAGTTACAACTGGCAAACTATACAGTTAATGAAGTGTATTCCATTGTGGGCTCTGTACACAATTAAAATCTTTAAGAGATTAGGGAGGTCATTGATTCTGATTTTTCCTTTCATAATGCAGCAGCATCCCTAAGAGGAGAGAGGGCTCACTTTTGAATGCAACAATTAAAGAGAAGGATACTGTTCCAATAAGCAGTTAGTTGCTACCTTCTGGATTAGCATGTGTTTCTGAAAGAGCTGGCAACCTTTGTTAAAACAAAAACAAAAAGAGAAGATACCTGGCTATGGCTAAACAGTAGATTGCATTCTCCCTTGTCGTTCTGCCACTGTGTTCTGAAAAGGACTGTAGAGAAGGATTTAGCAGAAGCTTTGCATTGGGTATGGAATAATAATAAGCTGGCTTGAGGACAGAATTAGGTGGTAGAGGAACTCTGGTTAAACACATATTTTGATCCATATATTCTTCATTGCTACAGTGCACATTTTTCTTTCTGCTTTTCTTCTTTTGATGACATCTTTTTGTGTTAGCTCTTTTGTTAGCATCCAGCACTGGAGGTAATTCTACACACGTCCCTTTGAGATACCGCCCTGGAACTGTCAAGCGGCACACACCCTGCCCATGATTATTTAAGTTTGGCAGTTTGTAGCCTCTGTTGTCTGCCTCTTGCACTGTTGCTGAATAAAAACTTTTGGAAGTCATTTTTGCTTTTGTGAAACCATCCACAAGGACAACATCCCCAACTCGTGTTCTGAAGACTGCTGTCTGGTTGCGTCGCTTTTTCGTATTGATGTTATTTTGAGCCGTCAGAAGCCACAGCTTTAATTTAATGTAGATTTTCATGGAAAGGGAGAAATTAGGGTAAGAAACCACTGACCATATCTTGGTGACTAAATACAGCACACAGTCCTTATGTCTGTGTTGGATGCATAACTTCAGTGGAGTTTGCCCTGTAGCGTTTGGGCACTGGAGGCACAGGACACTGTAATTGATGAAGGCTTTCAGCATCATAAGTTGGCCTGCTTCAGCTGCCGCATGGACAGGGCATTTCTTGACATCGGGATGGTTGTTTTTATGACACCACTCACGATAGGGATGTACACCAACTGCTTCAGTGGGCCTCGCTCCCTGCTTTAGGAGCCACGCTGAAAGCTGAAGGTGCCCAAAAAAGGCTGCCATATAAAGAGCTACCCTCTTTTGATATCTGAAAGAAAATGTGCAAAATAAATCACCCATGAAAAGAAAAGGTGAAATGCAAAATCATGGTTGCATGTGCAAATACAGCTCTATCCAGTTGACCCTGGAAGCGACCAACCATTTGGATAATCAGAAGCTCACATAAATAAAAATTGTATTTTGACAGAATATGGTGATGACATGCAGGTAATCCCCTGATTACAAACATCCAGGTTGCAAACAACCAGTACTTGCAAACGTATGGACTGCCATAAACCCTATATGATTCGCTCTATGGAACTGCATGGCCACTGATGATGCGTTGCCCAAGTGGCTGTTCCTAGTCACCCAAAATGTGGTTCTCCATGATCACAGTGCAGTTTGTTAGCAACCCTGTGCCACAGCGGCTTGTTAAGAAGCCTGCCCATGCTGGTCATGTTCTGTCTGATTTACATAATTCCTCTCACCAGCTATGAGGTCGTGTCATCTAAACCCAGCAAGGGAGGATTGTTAGAGTATTTTTCAAACCACTGAGATCCCATGGCCTATTATAGGACACCTTTGTTAAGCATCCCAGGAAGACGCCTTCACTGGGCCTGGATGACAAAAAAACTGCAGCAGCTACTTGAGATGTCAGCCTGCTGCCTGCCAGCAAGACAACCCACCATGCCTAGTAAGTTACAGTGGGTTCTATTGATCATGGGAACGAGACCACTCTCTTGTTTGCAGTAGCTGTTCACTCTCAGTAGTTGTCTAGCTTTTGTCTGCTCTAGCAGTGGGCCAGCTGCTATGATCTTGGCTTCTAAAGAGACTTTTGGGGTGCAGAATCAGGATGTTTGCCCCACACCAGCTGTAAAGTAGCTGTGGTGGAGGAGGAGATCAAGAGGAAATGGATCAGCTAGCTAAAGCAATATACTGTGCAGGTGGTGGAGGGGAAGCTGAATGTGAATGCCAAAAGTGCAAGCACATGGACCTGTACTGGGAGATTGTGTAGCACTGAGTAGATCACAGCATCCTCAGGAATAATAATACAAAGATTCCTCCCAATTCAAAGACCATGAATGAGAATAAGTGTGCTGGAATCTGTCTATCTGGTGATTAACCAGTGAGGCCTTCATCGGACAGTGCCTGGACAGCTCCAGGGCTCCCTCTGCTGGACAAGCATCAGAACAACCAGTTCTAGTTGCATGATTGGTCCCAGGTGCTGCTGGAGCTCTCAGGCACTGGATGAGCACTAGCTAGGAGCCCTGCAGGAAGAGCTATATAAAAGCAAGCTCTTCCCTCCAGAAGCTGCTTCAGTAATACAGGTCTTCTGATTGTGGTTGCATGGTCCAATGCCTACATCCTGTCTGGCTTTGTTTGCCAGATGCAGCTCCTGCCGTGCCCTGCTTCCCATGCCTTGCTGCTCCTGAATCCAGCCTGGCTATCCTGCCCTAAGTTTATGCTTTTTGCGCTAGTTGTCCTTCCAGTGATTGACCTGGGCATGTTCATGGCCACATCCTTGCCTTGCTTCCCTGTGTACCCCTGGTTCCTGATCTTGGCCTGTCTCTTGACTCTGACTCTCACTTCACTCTTGAACTGGGGACTCTGCCTTGGCTTGGTTCCTGTTGCCTGGATCCTGGTGCACCTGCCTTGACTCCTGCTACTTGCATCCTGGACTCTGACAGCCCCAGAAGATGCCCAGAAGAGTCTAGCACACAGCACTGCCACATGAATGGAGGCGGGCTTAAAGGAAAGTCCCTCCCCCCAGTAGCCTCGACAACACCCATAGCCAAAGTAAAAATCTGGAAATAGCACAGATCCCTTGATTTAGATAAGGCATTAGCTAACAGAACTAGTGTGACGCAGTGGTTCACACTGCTCAGCCAAGATGCTTACTTTGGACCAGTCACTCTCAGTCTCACAAAGCTAAGGATAAACAGTGCGTGTGTTAGGGAGAAGAAAATGGATGGAGAAGAGAACTATCTATGTATGTCAGTCTCTTCAAGCTCCTTAGAAGAAAGGTGGAAAACAAAAGTGTGAATGACTGGCATACTTGGAACATCCAGGGGCTTTGTCAGTGGGCTCAGTCCTAAAAAATGAAGGGAGCTCACAGTGCAGAGCTTTTGCAGCTCTTGCATCCTGGGTTAATCTTGAGTTTGGCAACAGGACTATAGGGGCTTGAAGCCACCAAAGATGTTATTACACATAGAAACAGAGCAGCATAGCAAAACAAAATCTTTTGCCAATTTACTTTCTGCTGCATGATAGAAGGAAAAGTAGTTGAATTTGCATGTATTTTTTCCGAACGAATGCCAAGGGATAAAATTCCATGTGGTGAAATGTTTTAGGAGCACCACATTAAGTCAGATGTAAGTATGACTTCTGAAAGCACTTTCAAACATCTGGCTTGGCCAAACATAACAGAGGAATGGTATGTAATTACTGTTCAGTGGGCATATTTGGCTCTGTTAAGAGAGCAAATGAGCAGATTGCTTATGACAGTAAAAGCAACCTGTCCTTAGGCGGCAGCAGCACCTTTCATGAAGATGTCAAAGTCAGTTACAATTTAGGTCAAACAAAAGCAGATTTTTCTTTTTAAGGATAGATATTTGGCACAGTTAAAAAAGAAAAATAACCCAAATTTTAAAGTTAGATGATGATTGACTGTACTTGAGTACTGGATCTTCCTTTGACAGATAGTGTTGGACCTTGCGTTGATTTCCTAAGAGACAGCCAGTCAGGAATTCTTTCCATCCATCCCAAACATCCAAATGAAGAGTTGTGCCTGCCAACAGAGAGTTCAGTAATTTGTCTTCATTCCTAGCTTGGTTTGCTACTCCATACAAAGAAGTTAAAAAGCATATTGTTCACAGCACCATACAGAAGGAAAAATTGAATGTGCAAACTTAGAATTCGGTTTCAGATGGAGGGTTTTTAGTGCAACCAGTGAGTGGACTTCCCACTACAAGCAGAATCTCCATATACTGCCCATGCCACGAAGGAAAGTTCCTTCATGCCCTGGCCACAACCATCTTTCCACACCAGTAAAGAGAGATGTAGCCAAAGCTCTTCCCTTCCTTTGCTGCTCCCTCTTACCATGTTTGCTGTGCCAAGACAGGCTTTGCTCATCTGTTTCTTCTCCAGAATTATACAATTTGGAAAGTCCAAAAAGGTTTACGGCTGCAGTTTTACTCTCATGTAAGTGCATGTCACGTAGATCTGGACCTGGACCCTGGTGTACCAGGAGTGGAGACTTAAGCCATTTGACCTCCCATTAGTTTTTTCTCTGGGGGATTAAAAAATATGTATTCATTCTATTAATTTTCTTCTTTAACCTTTGGGAGTGATGATGGGGAGGGGGTTAACTCTCTTCTCCTGGAATATTGTGATCCTGATCTGAATCAGGCCCACATGTGCTTATGTAGGAGTAAAAGTGCAGCACTTTTTGGACTTTCAGAATTGTGTAATTCTGGAGAAAACAGCAGCAGCAGCAGGACCAGTAATATTTGTATAAATATTACTAGTTGTCTCTGAGTGTATGTGACACACATAAACACCTTTATAGCTATCCTGATGCCATGAAAATACATCACCTTACATATCAAACAAACAACATTACTCTGCATGTCATACAGCCACCCCACCTCAAAACAGTGCGAGCTCTTCAAATCAGGTGACCACACTAATGGCTTTTTCGAGATCTTGCCATACCAGAAATTTTTCCTGGTATGAGTAAATATAGGAAAGTTTGGGGAGCACAGGAGAACATTGGACAACTACTAGATATTAATGGTGGCATGTGGGCAGTCCAAAGAATCCCACTAACAAAGCAAGCGGATAGCACTTTAAGAATTTGGCCTGGATGAGCCCTTGATTGGTAACTTGGCTGACTTTTGTTTCTCCAAGAAGGATTGGACACACTCCAACAGCAGAGTATATCAAAGATATTTACCTCTGAATGCTTTTTAGGGATGAGGAGTCTCAATCACTTCCCAAGCTACTTTTAGATTGCCTTCCACAAAGCTGTGGGATTGACTTCTTGCAATGCAAATTGCATCAGCAGTATCTCTGAACAATAGCTGAATTATCTGGCTAAAATCATCCTTCAGCAAGTTAATCTTTACTTACTTGTTATCAGCTGTATTTGTTTTAAAGTGCTGAAATATTCAGATGTTAGGAGCTAAGTGTAAAAACAGTCAAATAACACACAAATATACAGGGCTATCCAAGCAGGGAAGTCATAAATGTAATGTGATGATTTATTACAGTGCAATCTCATACAAGTCTACTTGGAGGTAAATACCATTGCATTCAGTGGGGCTTGTCTCACAGGTGGATATAGGATTAGATCCTTAAATTCAGATTTTTCTGGAAAGGATTGGAGGCTTATCCTATCGTATGAGAGTAAGTACACAAGCAGACTTATACCTATATCTAACTGATAATCGCTCAAGGTATTGCAGTCATACATCTCCCTGCCTTCTGGAGTTCTGAGGCAATAAGTATTGTTTGGGAAGCCACACTTCAGGGTTACCAGGGTTTTTAGCTGAGAAACCTTTGATGCAAGCAGATAAATCCTTCCCATTATGGGCATTTTTTCATGAGTGACAGCATTGTATATGTAGACGATTGGCTTGTCTTCTTCCTGGGAAAAAATAACAACAGCCCAACAATGACATTGATACAGCAGTGGTAGTATCTGTGAAAAAATGCACTCATGCAATTGATGTGGAATTCTGGTGTTTCATATGTGGGCATCCATTGCCCATGTAATGAATGCATTCCAGGAGCTCAGGCTCTAGCCTAGGATAGGGGTGGGGATGTCATGCCTAGGGGTTAAAACTGGCCCTCTGGGATTCCCCAAAGGACTATAGCACTGTCCCCTGTTTCTGAACCTATCCCCCCAAAAACCAATGTTTCAGTGGGGTCCTTGCTTTAATTCAGTTTTTACTCCAATCTTAATTTTTTTGACATGCCTCTGCTAAGCCTTATTTATTGGTAGTAAGAGCTTTAGCTTCTTCATGGATCACTGCCTTGTCGTGGCGAAGGGACTTGCGTAGCTCAATGAAGCTATGAGCTATGCCATGCAGGGCCACCCAAGACGGAGAGGTCATAGCAGAGAGCTCTGACAAATCTTGATCCACTGGAGAAGGAAATGGCAACCCTCTCCAATATCTTTGCTATGAAAACCCCATGGACAGTACCAAAGGCAAAAAGATATGACACTGGAAGATGAGCCCCTCAGGTCGGAAGGTGTCCAATATGCTACTGGGGAAGAGCGGAGGACTAGTACTAGTAGCACCAGAAAGAATAAAGCGACTGGGTCAAAGCTGAAAGGACACTCAGTTGCAGATGTATCTGATGGTGAAAGGAGAGTCCGATGCTGCAAAGAGCTATGCTCCATAGGAACCTGGAATGTAAGATCCATGAATCAAGGCAAGCTGGATGTGGTCAAATGAGGTGACAAGACTGAACATCGACATCTTAGGAATCAGTGAACTAAGATGGACAGGAATGGGTGAGTTTAATTCAGATGACCATCAGGTATACTACTGTGGGCAAGAATCCCTCAGAAGAAATGGAGTAGCCTTCATAGTCAATAAAGGAGTACGAAAAGCAGTACTGGGATACAACCTCCAAAATGACAGAATGATCTCAGTTCGAATCCAAGGCAAACCATTCAACATCACAATAATCCAAGTCTATGCCCCAGCCACTGGTGCTGAAGAGGCTGAAGTTGACCAGTTCTAGGAAGGCCTACAACACCTTCTAGAATTAGCCCCAAAAAATGATGTTCTTATCATCATGGGGGATTGGAATGCTAAAGCAGGAAGTCAAAAGATAACTGGAATAACAGGCAAGTTTGGCCTTGGAGTACAAAATGAAGCAGGGCACAGACTGGTAGAATATTGTCAAGAGAATACGATGGTCATAACAAACACTCTTTTCCAACAACCCAAGAGACGACTGTACACATGGACATCACCAGACGGTCAACACAGAAATCAGATTGACTATGTGCTCTGCAGCCAAAGATGGAGAAGCTCTATACAGACAGTAAATATTAGACCAGGAACTGACTGTGGCTCAGATCATGAGCTTCTGGTTGCAAAATTTAGGCTTAAATTGAAGAAAGTAGGGAAAAGCACTAGGCCACTCAGGTATGACCTAAATCATATCACTGATGAATATATAGTAGAGGTGACAAATAGATTTAAGGAATTAGATCTGATAGACAGAGTGCCTGAAGAACTATGGACGGAGGTTCGCAACATTGTACAAGAGGCAGCAACTAAAACCATCCCAAAGAAAAAGAAATGCAAGAAAGCAAAATGGCTGTCTGAGGAAGCTTTACAAATAGCTGAGGAAAGAAGGGAAGTGAAAGGCAAGGAAGAAAGAGAAAGATACAAACAATTGAATGCAGAATTCCAGAGAATAGGTAGAAGAGATAAGAATGCCTTCTTAGATGAGCAGTGCAAAGAAATAGAAGAAAACAATAGAATAGGGAGGACCAGAGATCTCTTCAAGAAAATTGGAGATACGAAGGGAATGTTTCATTTCATGTAAAGATGCGCATGATAAAGGACCAAAATGGCAGGGACCTAACAGAGGCAGAAGAGATTAAGAAGAGGTGGCAAGATTACACAGAAGGACTATACAAGAAAGACCTTAATGTCCCTGATAACCACGATGGGGTGGTCACTGACCTCGAGCCAGACATCCTGGAATGTGAAGTCAAATGGGCCTTAGGAAGTCTGAGCAACAACAAAGCTAGTGGAGGTGACAATATTCCAGCTTTGCTATTCAAAATCTTAAAAGACGATGCAGTAAAAGAGCTACACTCAATATGCCAGCAAATTTGGAAAACTCAGCAGTGGCCACAGGATTGGAAAAGGTCAGTTTACATTCCGATCCCAAAGAAGGGCAATGCCAAAGAATGTTTAAACTACCGCACCATTGCACTCATTTCACATGCTAGCAAAGTTATGCTCAAAATCCTACAAGCTAGGCTCCAGCAGTATGTGGACCGAGAACTACCAGAAGTACAGGCAGGGAGAGAAACTGGAGATCAAATTGCCAACATACCTTGGATCATGGAGAAAGCTAGGGAGTTCCAGAAAAAATCTACTTCTGCTTCATTGACTATGCTAAAGCCTTTGATTGTGTGGCTCACAACAAATTGTGGCAAGTTCTTAAAGAGATGGGAGTACCAGACCATCTTATTTGTCCCTTGAGAAACCTATATGTGGGTCAAGAAGCAACAGTGAGAACTGGACATGGAACCACTGACTGGTTCAAAATTGAGAAAGGAGTTCGGCAAGGCTGTATATTGTCATCCTGCCTATTTAACTTATATGCAGAGCACATCATGAGAAAGGCAGGGCTAGATGAATCTCCAGTTGGAATTAAGATTGCTGGGAGAAATATCAACAACCTCAGATATGCAGATGATACCACTCTAATGGCAGAAAGTGAAGAGGAACTAAAGAGCCGCTTGATGTGGGTGAAGGAGGAGAGCGCAAAAGTTGGCTTGAAACTCAACATTAAGAAAACTAAGATCATGGCATCCGGTCCTCTCACTTCCTGGCAAATAGATGGGGAAGAGATGGAGGTAGTGACAGATTTTATTTTCCTGGGCTCCAAGATCACTGCAGATGGGGACTGCAGCCAAGAAATTAAGAGACGCTTGCTCCTGGGGAGGAAAGCTATGGCAAATCTAGACAGCATACTAAAAAGCAGAGACATCACCCTGCCAACAAAAGTGTGTATAGTCAAGGCTATGGTTTTCCCAGTTGCAATGTATGGCTGTGAAAGCTGGACCATAAGGAAGGCTGAACCCCAAAGGATTGAGGCCTTTGAACTGTGCTGCTGGAGGAGACTCCTGCAAGTCCCTTGGACTGCAAGGTGATCAAACCAGTCAGTCCTAGAGGAGATCAACCCTGACTGCTCTTTAGAAGGCCAGATACTGAAGATGAAACTCAAATACTTTGGCCACCTATTGAGAAGGAAGCACTCCCTGGAGAAGAGCCTAATGCTGGGAACAATAGATGGCAAAAGAAGAAGGGGACGGCAGAGGATGAGGTGGCTAGATGGAGTCACTGAAGCAGTTGGTGAGAGCTTGAGTGGACTCCGGGGGATGGTGGAGGACAGGAAGGCCTGGAAGAATGTGGTCCATGGGGTCGCGATGGGTCGGACACGACTTCGTGACTAACAACAACAACAAGAGCTTTAGACCAAATAGCCTGGTTTTTCCCTCTATTTTTGGCTCTGCCCACTTTGCCCCAGTCCCTTTGCCTGCAGCCCTAGCCACCATGCAGGTGGTGGCTTACAAGATCTCTGAAATGCAATTTAGACCTTGGACTGAAAGGGGTTCTCCACCCTGGCCAAGCGAGAATAATGCTCAGTAGCTGTGTTCACACAGTGCAACAAGGCATGCTGTTATGTGTGAATTCAGCAAGCATGAATGTAGTCCATTTGATTACAGTGCATCTCCACAGAGAACCAATGGCTTGTTTTAAGGTTTCCATGCTCCACCATTGCTTGTCAGGATGTGTGAATTCATTTACAATATTTGCTGCTCGTTTCCCCATTCCAGACAGCACAGGTGGTCATGTAGGCTGTGGCCACTCCAGCCACCGTTTTCCACTACATTTGCCTAGCAACAGTGAGTTGCCTGCAGGCAGGGTGCCAATTGGCTGCCCCCATGCTCCTGGCCTCCCTCCTGGTCCAGGCTCCCCGGTGCCTGGCCATCCCCTCTTGCTGCCACCATGCCATTGCCTTGCCCGCCCCGTCGCTCCATTACCTTGCCATCACGCTGCTTTGTCATCACCGTGTCTCTCACATGGCCCAGGTGCTCACTGATCTTGCCAAACCTTCTGGCCTCCCTGATTAATAGGCACGCCAGAATGTCCTGCAGGGCAGGCATGTCGGCCAGGCCTTGCAAGGTGCTCCTGGCTCCTCAGCGAGGCAGAGCATCTTGTGAGGCAGGCACATTGGTGGACATCCCAGCGAGGCGGGATAAAGAGGCAGGGCGGGGTGGTGGGGAGACAGGATGGCCCGGCATGGGGGAGGGAGGGGAGGGAACCGGGGTCAGCCGAGGCTGCAGCTCTGTGCTGGAGCCATGCACAGGCTGCGCACGGGGCCTCGCCGGCATGGTGAGCGCCTCAGGAGGCCTGTGCCTCTGCCAGACTTCCCACCCCTCTGCCCACTCCCTCCCTGTCCCCAACAGTCCAGGGGGCTCCTGCAAGGCCGGCCAGCCCCGTCAGGCATCCCTGGGAAAATATGCCTCGCAGGGCACCCTCCTTCATCCCTGGCACTGGAGCCTGCGCTGCTGCCTTCCTTACACTGGGCCTCTGAGAGGAGGCATCTTGCTGCTCTAATGGGTAGACGGTGGCTCTGCAGAGCAGCAAGCCAAAAAGGAGCGGTGGCTGGCTGAGAACATGACCGAGGGACCACGCAGGCCCAGGGGGAGAGGCGGAGGCCCAGGGTCAACATGCAGCATCCTCTGGCAAATGCCAGAGCCCCAGCACAGTAGCCGTCCTGGGACACTGAAGCACCCACTGCTCTAGACATTGTGGGAAACTAAAACGGCAGGACTCGTTTTAGTGCTGCTGTGCACTAATCCAGAGGACCACTACTGCTCCCACCCCTTCAAACTTTGCTGAAGGTCTTCTCAAAGTAGAAGCCAGCCCTGTTCTTCCATGGCTGTCTTACCCCTTCCTCTGCCCTGCCTGATCTGGAACGCGATTAGCGGCTCATTAACCACAGCAGGCAGTGGCAGAGGTAGGGAGGAAGGCTGAAGGATAAGGCAGGAAGTGGAGCAGGTGTCACAGGCATTGCAACCAGGCAAGGACCTGAAGGACATCCTGATAAGCTGCTACTTCATCGGTCCTTGACATGTGTGCAGGTCTTTCTTTTCACAGGCTCTATGCAGTTAAGAAGTAAAGAATAATATGCTGTGTGGAATATTATGAAATAAATATTTAACCTTACCATTTGAAATAGATGTCTAACTTCATTAAGTTCCAAATCAATGCAAGGCTAAGGAGTTATTTTTATTTATTTATTTAGGAAGCTTCTATGCTTCCCCATTCGCCGAAGCCTCGGGGCGGCTCACAATAGCAATTTTTCTCACAGTTTTTCAATGCTTTAACCCCACCTTCCCCAGCTGGATACCCTAAAGATATGTTCAGACTACAACCCCCATTATCCTCACCTAGCATTACCAATTACCACTGGGCTTACTAGCCAAGGGTGAAGGGAATTGTAGACCAATCATCTGGAGATGCCAGGCTGGAGAAGACTGTCTTAATACCTTTTTCCTGTGATTATCTGAAGGCCACATAACATCCCATTTGAAAGTGAAATGTTTTTGATGAGTGCTAAGTGATACCAGTAAAAGACCTATAATTTAGTCAGGAAAACAGCATGCATAGAGGATCATTGTGCTAATTAGGTAGCTTCAGCTTTGTTTTGCTTTTACAAATCATACTGTACCTTAACAACACACTTAATTGTGGAAGAAACTGATATGCCAACATCAGCAAGTACCCAGCTGTCCTTCAACACTGCTCCTGCATACATCAGCTCCAAATATCTCCTGCCTTGCTTGTCTTCAGAAAGAGGAACATGAAAATAATCCTTATGGGGAAAGATATTATTTTAGAAACAGTAGTAGAAACACAAGTCTCAGTCTAGCATTCTGCTACCCCACACTGGTTTTCTTTGTGTGCACATTTACTTTGTGATAGACATAGATTGGATCAAGCTGTTGGAAACTGAGGAAAATATTTTGTACTATTGATCTGTAGGTTTTACTCCTTCATATTCTTTTATAATGCCCTCCATTATGCTTCCCACCTCTCTCAGTATTTCTGGCTAGAAGGGTGTTTCTAAACAGTGGGCTAACAATTAAAAGGTAACAATTAAAGTGCTAATAATTAAATGGTATTTTAAAGCTATTCCATGCTGGGAAAACATAGGAGGGTTACCAGGGCATGACATCTTTTGGACCCCAGGTAAAAATCCATGAATGTGCAATAAATGATTGTGCATTAAAAACCTGGATGAAAGCACTCTGAGTTTGGTGGTGTGTATAAAAAAGGTAGTTCGATGCAGTAAAAAATCCCAGCTTTCCCTAGAGCTTAATCCTATCCATGTTTGCTCCAAAGAGAACTAGGGCAATGTAGTGGTTAGAACATTGGAGAAGGGCTTTCTCTTTGGCATACTGCAAGTAAAAGAAGGCAGCTGAACCTCAAACCCAACAGAGCCTTGGAGTTATTTGGGGTTTTTCCCCTTCAGTTTCTCTTACTCAAGCAAAACAAACTCATTGGCTGTGTTCACATAATACGCTAAACTAACTTGCAATAAAGTTACACAGGATGGGTTGAATGTAGGTGTGTCAAACAAAGGGGCAATATCATCCCCTCTCAATTTTAAGTGTTGAACTGACACTTAGTGTCCCCCACCTTTTTAACACTTTTCTAAGTCTCCAGCCGCTCTAGGAAAGGGAGATTCTGGCTCCCTGCTCTTTTTTATAGCTCTGTTTTGGAGCACTTATTGCTCTGGTTTCAATTAAAACTGTGCTTCTTGCTATATAAACAACTCCAGCATATGCGAAAAATTTTCCTTGTGTTTCTCTAATTCTGACATTAGATATTATCTAATTCAGATTTCTGAAAATCAAAATGACCAAGAATAAAGCAATTTTGCTACAGATAGAATCATACCTTTATCATTAGCTTTACCTCTTTCACTGTATTCTCTGAAGAAATGTCAAAAGATTCGCAAAGTCCTTCAAAGGCAACAAAAATCCTCATTTTGAAAAATGCTGCTCAAAACTTCTCAAATGTCTTTCCACTCTATCAAGCCACATGGTATGCAAATCGTATATCCATACCGGAGGTCAAAGAAAAGCAATTCTGAGCACACTGTAAATATCCAAAATATCCTTATGCACACATTCTTCTTCCAAAGAAAGGGGCAGCCTAGAAAATCCTGGCTGAAGCAGACAGAGAGCTAAAGAAACAATGAGAGGAATTTGTTGCACAGGCTGAGTTGAATAGGAAAATGTCCCCTTCTCAAACTAACAAACTTAATTAAACCAGCAAGCCACGTATTGATCAAGGCAAGTGAGAACAAGCTTTCAGCATGTGTATGCATGTTCCAAGCTGGTTGTGTTTGTTCAACAGGCACTTATAAATCTCAGAGAACTATGGCAAAAATGATGGTGATGTTTATTTTATTGCTTATGGCAGTCTTTAACCGTCATGTAAATAAATCTAATCTCAGCTCTCCCGTTACCATAACAACTTTATAAGCCTGTTAACAAGGGGCAGCGCTGCCAGTTTAGATTGGAAGCCAGATTGTGCTTTTTGTATAAAGCAGAGAAGTCAACAGCTTGAGAGAATTGATAATCCAGTTAGATAATCAGGTATAAAAGATGCCCAGTAACCATTTCATATCCCTGCCTTGTTTCATAAGTTCTTTTCGCTTGGGAAAAATACAGTATTGCCGTGTCCTGAACCAAAAAGTCTAGTGGCACCTTTAAGACTGTTGTGGCATAAGCTTCCATGGACTAAAAACCACATATGTGTGAACTGTTGGTGTGTGCACACACATGCCCTGCGGGGGAGAGAGAGAATATGAATGAGCAAAGAGGGTGTGTGGTGAAGCAAAATTAGGCACGACCTCTGCCTACTGTCTGTAAATCTTAAATGAATACAATATACAATTGAAATTCTTGATAAACCATGTATGTGACAATCAATGCGCTCTTCTTCGATGCACACCCTAAAGTGGCAGGAGAGGTTGAGAGAGAACTCGAGCAATGCCACCAGGAGGCCAAACTCTCTTACTAGGCTGGTCTCCAGCAGGGTCACCCAAGGCAGAATGGTCAAAACTGAGACACCAGACTAAGACACTTAAATCCTCAGAATGAATAGTGGTCACATCAGTGGACGAGAATGGTTATCTCTAATGGTCACAAAGATGGACAAACTCCGCAAGGGAAACTGCTGGGCACCAGCAATAGCTGAAGGTGACACTGAAGGAGGTGATTTCATGGATATCAGCAGTGATGCTCAAGCTAACTATGGTATTAATGCTCAGAAGAAGGCAGTGGTAAACCACTTCTGAATATTTTTAACCTTGAAAGCCCTATGATGAAACAATCCAAAACAGAACAAAGGCAGAAGATGAGGCTCCCAGGTCAGAAGGTGTTCAAACAGCTATAGGAGAAGAAAAAAGTTCAAATAGCACTGTTGCTAATGACACAACTAGATCAAAACTGAAAGGAGGTTTACTAGCCAATATGTACAGAAGCAAAAGGAAAGTCCAGTGCTGCATAACATATACAACTGGAACAATGAACTTGAATAGTATGAATCAAGGCAAACTGGAATCCATAAATAACACAAGAAATAGAGTGGTTAAACATCACAATGATTAACTCATACTTCTGAAATGAAAGTGGAATGGGACATTTTTAATCCGGGAAACACGGTAGGTTTACATGACATGACAAGCCATGGTAGTTTTTTGTGCAGGATGTTCTGTTGTGTGGTCTGAACCCTGTCATGGTATCTCAGCATAATACATTCAGCTTTTGGAAACCATGATAAGAAACAGTGACTTTCCTTATGGTTTCCACACTTCATGATAGTTTCTCTGGTTGTCCTTATTCCAACAACCGATACTGAAAAAATAATACATTAAAAACTTTTAGGAAATATGAGAGAGGACACACCAAAACAAGATATGCCGATAATCATAGACTACTGGAATGCAAAAGTAGGAATCAAAGTACAATCTAACATTGTGGGAAAATTAGGCCTTAGGTCAGAAATGAAGCAGGACAATGACTCATAGAAATCTGTGAAGCCAACAATCTGAGTATTGCAAATACATACTTCAGGTGACTGAATAGATAGCTGTACACATGCAGATAACCAAACAGCCAGTACAGAAAATCAAATAGCCTCTGTAATTGGAAATAGAAGACAGAAGAGCCAAGAAATGAAAGGGAAATCTGCTTTAGGAATGCTGAAAAACCATCAGGGGAACATACTATGTGACAGGACAAAATAAAGGGAAGGTGAATGTATATTCCAGTCCCAAAGAAAGGAGGAGCAAAGGAGTGTGACAAATACAGGGCTATTGTAGTAATTTCCCATGTAAGCCAAGCAATTCTTAAGGTGTTGCAACAAAGAATGTTAGCCTACATGAAGTGTGAAATGCTTGGTGTTCAAACTGAATTCCAAAAAGGAAAAGGCAGTTGAGATCACATTGCAAATACGTATGCCTGGCTATTGGAGTATAAAAAAGAATTTCAGAAGTAGTCACTCTGTGCTTTGTATAGTACAACAAAGCCATTGACTGTGTGGATCATAAGAAACTATGGATGGCTCCAAAAGAAATGGGTGTGCCTCAGCACTTGGTCATCTTAATGCATAAACTATCATGAACAAGAAGATACAGTTAGGACAGAATATGGAAAAACAGAATTATTTCCTACAGCCAAAGGTGTCAGACAAGGCTGTGTTTAATCTTCGCATCAGTCTGTATATAGAACATATCATAAGGGAACCTGGATCAGAATTAGAGGAAGGAGTAAAAATCAGGGAAAGATACATGATAATTTAAGATATGGAGATAATAGATTACTGGCAGAAAGCAGTAATGAACTGAAACAACTCCTGCTGAAAGGGGAAGAAGAAAGTGCAAAAGCAAGGCTGCAAATGAACCTTAAGAAAACAAACATCATGATTGCAAAAGAATTACAATGCCAAGAATTTTAATGTCAAGAATGAAGAAATTGAAATTGTGAAAGATTTTGTATATCTTGGCTCAACCATCAATTCAAAGAGAGACTGCAGCCAAGAAATTAGAAGACAACTAAGATTTGGAAGGGCAGCAATGGAAGAACTAGGAAAGACAGTCAAGTATAAGGATGTTTTACTGGAGACCAAGGCCTAGGCCCTAGATCATCTGCACTACTGCATTCTCAGTCACTATGTCTAGCTGTGAATGCTAGACAGTGAAGAAGGCTGACAGGAAAAAAAATTATGTGTTTGTAACATGCTACTGGAAGAGAACTTTGATAATACCCTGGACCAACAGAAAAATGAACAAGTGGATCCTAGATGAAATCAAGCCAGAACTTTCCCTGGAAACAAAAATGAAAAAGCTGAAGCTGCCATGCTTCAGGCACATCATGGGAAGTTGAGACTTGCTAAAGAAGCTAATCATGCTGGGAAAGTCAAATGCAAAAGAAGAGGAAGACCAAGTATGAGGTGACTCAATTCCATAAAGGAAGCCACAGCCTTGAGCTTACAGGAGCTGAGCAGGGCTGTAAAGATAGGGCATTTTTAATTCATATAGTTGATAAATTGGAGGCAACTTGATAGCATGTAACAACAACAGAACAATAAATCTTGCACTCTTTAAGGTGCCATAGATAGTGATTTTGATACAACAAAGCAAACCCAGCAAAACCTCTGGTCTTTATCTTTAAATATCCTTACTGATTAAAATTACTGCCCAAGAAGCTAGTTAGAACCTCTAGAGTGAATTTCCTGATATTGCTGTCAGTTGTTTGTTAAAATCCAGCTTTCACATTGTAGTGACACAGGTATTTTGCCTATTCCGCTCTCATTCAGTATAACATAAAATAAAAAGCATAATGGAAAGACACAAAGGCATAAGAGAATGAAAGTGCAATCATAAGAAATTAGAAACAGACTGAAGCTGCCATCCTAAACTCCTAGGGTTAAGCACCAGTAAACACAAATATGAACAGGATTGTGCTGTAAGCTTGCACATATAAATAATGTAAATAAATGTGAAGCCCAGAGTCTATGGGAATGGGGTGGTATATCAAGATTAAGACAAATAAACTGTCTATCAACAGAAAGATGAACATAATGTAGTTTATAGTATTAATTAAATTAAATTAGTGGTTTTATTCTATTTAAAAGCAACCACCCTAATTGTGTATGTATTTGTTGTGATTCTGGGGTCTACTGGAATAAAGAGCATTATTAGTAATACCACACTGAAAATACTGGGAAAACTAACCTTTCAAATTAACTAACTTCCTCCACACTCACACAATTATTTAACATATATAAGAATTCCACATGCAACCACATGAGGAAATCTATTGCTATTTTTATTTGTACTGATGGGAAACATGAGAAAATATTGCTTCCCCCTCAACAACTGCTGTGGTTTGCTGTTTATGTAACTGGATGAAACTTTTATACATTCAAACACAGTATTCTGTTGGGTCAAAACCAATTCCGTTTATACAGATTTTGTCTCTCAGAGCTGAAACAGAAAATTTCATAGTTGTAGTGATATGCCTATACTTATACACAAAACCCATGTAACTACTAAACAGTAGCAGAACAAGCTTCTCTGTACTACTCTGTCCCCAGCCTTGCAGAAATTACATGGTTGTAAAAGCTGGATTTATTGTAAAGACCTCTCAGTTCTTGGACTCCTTCAGTGATCTCTGAAGGTACAAGAATTGGGCTCTAAGGCCCTATCAGTTGCTGACTGCTGGCCTTTCAAATGTTTGTTGTGAGCAGTTCAAACATGTTTGTTTTATCACTTGATGATTGCAACATCAAATGTAATTCCATGGTCTAGTTCACACATACACATTTATCACTTGATGATTACAATGAAGTGATTACTGTGCATGAGAGGGTCAGAACTGATACAGAATAACAGAATCTTCTAGTCAGATCATGTCAAACACCAGGACTTGCATTCAGAAATGCTTTCTCTGATAAGAAAGCACTTCTTTTCACCCAAGGCAGGTCTCCCCATGAGGGCCAGTCCGCAACATTTCGCTGCCTGAGATAGAGCAACAAATCACACTTCACCAACCCACCCACTCACATTAAGGGAGATAGCACCCAAGTTATTTTGGTACGTGAGACAGAAAATCCCATAAGCACCCACCTCCACTCAGCAATAGAAATACAATAAACCCAAAGCAAATCAGCAGCAATGTGCTGTCCTTTCATGACACTCAAATTCTGCTACTTGAGGCAACTGCATCATTCTCAGTGATTGGCCAGAAGAGGCCCTATAAACTGAAACTGAACCCTGGTAAGATGGAAACTTTCTTGGGGAGCAGTAGCTAAACTGGGAGACAGGCTCATTGACTGTTCTGGATGGGATTGCACTCCACTTGAAATGTGAGGTTCATAATTTGGGGGTACTCCTGGATCCATCATTGCCACTGAAGTTCCAAGCTTTGACTGGTTTGCTACCTATGGCCTTTCTTGGGCAGAGATAACTTGCACACAGCGGTACAGGTGCTAGTAAGTCTAGGTTTGTACTCCGTATGGGGCTGCCCTTAATGGTCATCTGAAAGCTGGAGCTAGTGCTGTTGTGTGTGCTCACAGGGAAAAGGTGCCAGAAGACACGCAATCAGTTTATAGTTTTGATAGGAATGAGAGTTCAGGCAGCAAAGATGAAGGAATTCTGGAGTGTCAGCAAACTACAGTATCAGATCAAGGCCAGGAAATGTCTGAGGCCCAAGGAGGGTTACTCCAGGTGGGTGGAGGGAATGGACAGCCATCCAATGGGAATGGGGAGATAACACAGCAGGAGGTGGAGTTGGCAGCTGAGGCTGATGAGAGCCCCATTTGCCAATGGGAGAACGGGGAGAACTTGGGATCTGGCCAAGCTGTGCACCAGGCATTGAGAAGTCTGTCAGATACAGAGGAGGTGATGCAGGTTACTAGGAGACAACACAGCTGGGAGGTTCAGTTGAGGGAGTGCTGCCAGGTGAGGTATCACAGTGCCCTGCCTCTGAGTTGGCACAGGAGAAAGGGCTATAAGCAGCATAAAGACTGAGAGGTGTTAGGCCTCAACACTTCCCTCTGGGTGAACTCAGAGATGTGCAACAATAGGGACATGCAACATAAACTTTTGTGAAAAGGAACTCTGGAGCAGCATGTTTAGTTGGGAAGAGGGCCGTACCTCATGACAAGTGCAGCATGTAACTGCTCCACTGTTGTCAGGAGCTGCCTCTTCTCAGTATGCAACTCCTTTGCTGAGGGTTGCCTATTTTCTGCCAGCCCAGATTTAGATTTTTGGTACTAGCATATAAATGCCTAAACAACTTTGGACCAAGATATTTGTGCCAGCGCCTCCTCCCATATCATCCT